CCCGTTTTTTTTTTTTGTTTTTTTTTTTATAAGTAGGCCTGTTTGTTTATTGCACATGTACCATACTAATACCATGGTAGGCTGAGCTTTGCAACACTTTCAAAAGCGTTATCGGAGAAACGTGTAAATGTATATAGTATCAAGATACCACGTAAAAATAAATGCACAACCATGCACGTTTTTTCTAAGCATATTGTTTGTTTATTGCACATGTATCATACTAATACCATGGCATTCTATTATGGTATTTGCAATACTTTTAAGAAACGTTATCGGAGAAACGTGTACATGTATATAGTATCATGTAAAAATAAATGGCACTATCATGCACGTTTTTTCTACGCATATAGACTTGAACTTCAGAGACAATTATAAGTAAAGCGCATGCAGTAAAGCGTTTGGGATTGTTTTCCAGACTGTAAGGCCGGCGAGGAGAGCAGAGATCAGCCCAAGCAGCGGAAGAAGCGCTCTCGCGCCGCGTTCTCTCACGCGCAGGTGTTCGAGCTCGAGCGGCGCTTCAATCATCAGCGCTATCTGTCGGGCCCGGAGCGCGCGGACCTCGCCGCCTCTCTCAAGCTCACCGAGACGCAGGTCAAGATCTGGTTCCAGAACCGACGGTACAAAACCAAGCGACGCCAGATGGCCGCCGATCTGCTGGCCTCGGCCCCGGCGGCGAAGAAAGTGGCGGTGAAGGTGCTGGTGCGCGACGACCGGCGGCAGTACAGCCCCGGAGACCTGCTCCGTCCGCCGCTGCTCTCACTGCAGCCGCCCTGTTATTACCCGTACACCTACTGCCTGCCCGCCTGGAGCCTGTCCTCCTCCTGCGCCGGGAGCCTGTGACCCCGGGACTCACGCGTATTTATTCTACTAAAGACAGTCGTTTACTGAACACACCGACCGAGGAGCTAAAACCGGGAGATTTATTCGCAGGACCGGCTCCGCGTTTGGGCCAAACCCGCCGGTTTTCTTCCCAGGACTTATATCTGTTTTACTCCCTATAAATCACCATTAGGATCTGATTTCAGAATGCATGGAAAATGTGTCGGTTTTTAGCAAAACACTCTCTCTTCTGCACTTGATGTCGTTACCGGTAAGACTGGCACTTTCCCCCGCAGTACAACATATTAAAACCAGAGGAAAATACTGGTTTGTTGGACTCAGTAAGTGAGCCGTGAAGTCTCCACGTTTACTCCACATGTATGTTTTCATATTAGTGTAACGTGTTTTGTTTAATGAAAAAGAAATCAAACATTAAAACACATGAAGCATAATTTCAGTCGTGTTTCTCGCATTTTATGAGATCTGTCATTTCAATGAATCCTCAAAGTAGAAGCGTGAAGTTAAAGACCCGTGACAGGAGCCCACTGGAGTCACTAAATTATAAAGTAAGTTTGACACAAAACAGCAAAAGAAGAGTCGCCAAAAAATCCACTTTCACTCGTGTTTTCATCTATTTGTGTTATTTCACGCAATCTCGCCGCTGAATTCTGCTTTAATATTTCAACCTTCTCTTCGTTTTTAAAGCCTCGTTGATATTTCTTGTAGACAAAAAAGAAGAAACTTCGGACTAATTACTGAAATTCGTGACAGCAATAAAGCCACTGAGATTACAAACCGTGCAAACAATAAAACCAACAAACTATAATCAAACCATCAGCGCTATGTTCAGTAATACTAATTATGACAATACTAATAAATGATTTAATCGTGTTTTGCGATCAGAACAAGGCCTCGCGAGCCCTTGGCTATAATTACAGAGAGAAATATTTGTGCATATAAATGTATGAATTATATTTCAATAAAAATATATGTGTGTGTGTGTATATGTCGCTTGGCTGATTGATTATTCTGACACAGCGAATTATTTTCGAAATTGTGTTGTTAGTAGAATAACCTTTCTTATGCAATGTAATACGCCCAGTAGCCTATTAAAGCGTTTGCTTAATAATACATCAGACAGATAAAAGATCCTAGATCATCAGATTTACTGACATTCTGTGTTTTCGTTTTGTCTTTTAGTCTTTGGGCTCAAATTAGGTTTTGTGTGGAGAAATACAAAAAACAAAACACGATCATATCTAATAATTGAGCTTTGCTGTATATGCCAAACGTCCGTAAAGTCGATACAAAATCGTTTGTCAACAGGCTACAATTTTAAATGCATGCAATTTGAAATTAAATAAGAAATGAGGTCACGTGAGGCCTGTGAGCGCGTTAATTAACACGTGCTTAATATCGGTTTAAAAACAGAAGAATCCTCACAATTCATCCTGTTTTCTCTGTTGGCTGTTTTCAAAGCTGGATTTTAATGACGATGGATGCTATGTGAGGAATATTTGACATTAATGCCTTCTGTTGGTTTTGACTCCGTTGATGCCGACGAGAGGTTATTCTGAGGCCTGTTTCAGAACAGTTCAAAAGTACAGTTCCGTTCTCAACACGAGTATTTTCCCTAAGCGTGTGTCTGTTTAGGTTTGCATGGGCCGGTGCATTGCACTGTAAACTAGCCTGTTTGTTGAGTCAACTTAACTTTTTTTTTTTTATTATCTTATTTTTTTTCGGTGTGATGCATGTTTCAGCATGCGTTTTTGAGCTGAAACAACAGTTGTAGCTACTAGTTCGTTCAACTTTCATCTCAGTTGAGGGCCAATAAACATAGGCCTACATCTTGTTGTTGTCTGGACAATTTATAAAAAAAATAATAATAATTGTTTACAGTGTGGAAGAGCTTGAATTGATGGTCGATATTCGGCAGTGATTTCTCAGCGAGCGCTTGCATGTGCCGAGAGTGATGCATCCAGAGAAGAGCACGAGCCAGCTTCACATTCTTCAGCATAAATGCAGCGAGTCCGACGGTTCAACTTTCCGGGAAAATATGCGTAATGACCGAGAAAAAAGAGAGAAGAGAGAGCAGGGCCTTAAGCTTTAGTCTCGAGCACCGACGGGCTGGAAATCATTCGCAGATGGAGCTCACAGAATAAGCCTCTTGTCTCTTTAGATTAATGTTTAATTGCAAGCTTTTTATACCGATTTATTTGCTTTGCAAACGCCTTAGGAAATAAAAAGCTATTTATGGACGCTTTTCTGTGACGTCAAACCCGAACTGATTCGAATTGAGTGTGCACGGGGTTTTGACGTCGTTATTGGTGGGTGCGGTCGTGTAATGAGTCGCGCTGTTGTGTGGTCAGTGTTCCCGCGCATCTATAGACCACTACTCTATATTTTGACAGGATTTGCGACTTTAACGCGGCCTCGCAATTTCCCAGTGCATAAGTGATTTTTTTACTATCCTGTGAATGCCTGTATATTTCTGGCCAAATGTTGGACGTCAAGGACGATTTATTTCTACACGCTAATAGAGCGCGCCTGTCACACATAATGGCGCGTAATCAGGGCGGAGACATGAGCCAGTTGTTGTTCTAGATCAAGTTTCACGTTTAATGGAAGAAAATGGGCATTTCAGACACTCCGCTCCTGCGGCTCACAGTCATTTGTCTCCAAACTGAATGATATGTTCTCTTCTTGAAGTCCGCACGTGCGTTTCTGAAGATGAAGCGCGTGAAGCAGATGTTTAACAGGTGCTCGCGCCTCCAGCAGCTAACACGTCACAGCATCACTCTAATTATCACGTCTAATTACACTCCAGCTTGACTTTTGGGGTGTTTCTGCAATAAATGGAATATTTAGGAGCGTGCCGAAAACAGGACGGGAAGGTGGTTTTACATTTTCCTTGCTTTAAATAAAAATAAATTCAGATGAGTAGAGGCGAGTCGCTTTACAACTTTACAACAATTTGTTATTATTATTATTGTTGTGTAAGATTTCATGTCATGCAAATAATGCTTTACAATGATTTAAAACAATACACTAGCCTTTTATTATTATTGTTGTTGTCTAAAATTAAATGTAGGTCATGCTAATTATGCTTTAAAATAATTTAAAACGATGCACTGGGCTATTATTTGTATTATTATTATTTTAGTCTAAGCATGCATGTAATTCGAAGCATGCCTAGTAATAATTTTAAATAATACACTTGGCTAATAATAATAATATTGCTTCATAATTTAATTTTTATCTACCGATTTTCTCTGTTCTGGTCTCTCTCTCTCTCTCTCTCTGTGTGTGTGTGTGTGTGTGTGTGTGTGTGTGTGTGAGAAAAGCATTTCAGTAGCTACAATTTGGACGCTTAA